GGGCTTCGCCCTCACATCGATCCTTCTAGTTAGGCAACAGGTTCCTTTTTCGTTGCATTATCGTTTCAATCACAGAAGTCCTTTCGGATTTTAGTTTACACCACCGCGCAGCTGCTCTTTGGTTGTACTCCGAGGACGACCATGACTGACTACTTTACTCGACTGCTGAAAGCGACCGCCATCACAAAGTAGGGTCTCATATCCTTCTGTGAGAGTCTCGGTCGATTTCTACTGTTTCAAAGCGAAAAGCAAAGGTAAGTAGTAACAGAGACGATGAAAGTGAAGTTATAAATTGACCAATTAATGTGAGGTGGGAGGGTTCGGGGAGGTTTTCTTCTAAAGGAAATTCGCCACACTTCGCCACACCCATCAATCAGTTGTCAAAGGTAAGTAGTAACAGAGACGATGAAAGTGAAGTTATAAATTGACCAATTAATGTGAGGTGGAAGGGTTCGGGGAGGTTTTCTTCAAAGCAGAATTCGCCACACTTCGCCACACCCATCAATCAGTTGTTCCAAAGTTGTTCTCACACCAGTTCCACTTCGGAGTTGCTTTAGCTTCAGTAAAACTTCGAGTGGTCACTTCTTAAATTAATGTGAGGTGGGAGGGTTCGGGGAGGTTTTCTTCTAAAGGAAATTCGCCACACCCATCAATCAGTTGTTTCCAAGTTGTTCTTACACCAGTTCCACTTCGGAGTTGCTTTAGCTTCAGTAAAACTTCGAGTGGTCACTTCTTACTTTGGCAAAACAGTTACTGTGTGTCCATACAAGTAAAGCTGACCTTGAACCGCGATTCAATTGCAAAAGTCGCTTTACTGGTACTCACTGGATCATTGGCCCATCAAGTACGCCGTCTACGAAGACCTTCAAGGACCTTAAAGAAATTCTGGTAAGGTTCGACGGCTGCCAAAGGTACAGCGTACCACAGTAACGAGCTGGATCTGACTACTTTTTCATATGAATGCCTGTCTTACATCATTCTGATAATGGGGTAATTCAATGTTATTAGCATGTACCCCCCAGTCTGGCCCGGCTAGCAGAGAGGTTGTTGGGTAAGAAGGCAACCAGCTTCGTGATTCCCTGACTCCTTGGGATGCTGAGTTGGGTTCTTTGTAGGTTCTATGCTCCCCCAGAAGTGTTCGTCATTCAATCGCAACCCATTCGTCACTCGGTCACAGTTCTTTCTTTTTCGCTGACTCGAAAGTTGAGGTTTACTCAACGCCTTTACTTTTTCACTTAGCCCAAGTGACTGATAAGCGAAAAATGAAGGTGGGCACTTTTTGGTCCGATGAAGAGATTAAAAGGACAATCGGATTCACTGTTCACCAGCATCTTTTTTGTATTCACAGTTTTTTGTTTCTACATGCTCTTAGGATGCCGTTCGATTTTTGTTCCTTTCTGGGAATTCCACTCATTCCACACCTTTGCGTGCGGTTGCGTT